AAAGATATCATGCTTGGTAAGGTGGAGGGTCAGAGAGAAAGAGAAAGACCCCGAACGAGATGGATTGGCCAAGTGGCAGCATCAATGGACGCAAGCGTGGCAACAGTAGTGAGGTTGGCCCAGGATCGGGCAGTGTTTCATTCCGCTGTGCATAAGGTTGCTATGGGTCGGTACCGACTCGATGGCAGCTAACAACAACAACAACAATATGAACTAAATGTATCCTTTTCCTTTTTTAGGATGTAAAGCATAACTTTAATTTACATTATTCTAATGGTTCATAAAGGAGCTCTGGTAGCTTAGTGGTTACGAATCGGGCTGCGAACCACAAGGTCAGAGGTTCGAAACTACCAGCTGCTTCATGGGAGAAAGATGAGGCGTTCTGCTCCCGTAAAGATTAACAGCCTCAGAAACCCTGTACAGCGTCTCTATGAGTCGGAACCGACTCCACAGCACATAACAACAACAACAACAATGGTTCATAGGAGTTCTAGTGTGGCACTGTAGGATAAGCCCTGGACGGCTAACCTCAAAGTCGGCTATTCAAATCCACCAGCTGCTTTTCAGAACCCTATACAGGGTCATTGTTGTTGTTGTTAAGTGCCGTCTAGTCGGTTCCGACCCATAGAGACCCTGTACAGGGTTCCCGAGGGTATAAATCTTTATGGGAGTAGAAAGCCTCATCTTTCTCCCGCGGAGCGTCTGGTAGTTTTGAACCGCTGACCTTGTGGTTCGCAGCCCGATTCGTAACCACTACGCGTCGGAAATGACTTAGCTGGACTTAATGACAGTGGTTCATAACTGTTTTTATTTTTATGAAGTACTTCTTTTCCTTTCTTTATTCGGTTATTACTGAGGCTTTAAGTTTAGTGCAAACTCCTTTGGAATCTAGGGACACAATGAATGGAATGTGAGGGTCATTGTTCCAAATTCACTAAGATTCATAATCAATATTGCCCAATGGTTTTGTGGGAGGTAGGGTTGCCTATGCTGTTTTTGAATGGCAGAGATCAAGAGTGTCTTAGATTGTTGTTGTTGTTGTTAAGTGCCGTCAAGTTTATTCCGACCCATAGAAACCCTGTATAGGGTTTCCAAGGAGCAGTTGGTTAGCTTGAACCACCAACCTTGCAGTTCAAACAGCTTTGCAGTCTGATGCATTATTAGCCCACAGCTCCACAAATTACACACTGATACAGGTTTTAATGCAAATAGTTTAGGAGTTGAATGCAGGAGATACTTTAAAGGAATGGGGAAATGAGGCAAGGAAGGGAAGAACGTTCATCCAGGATGTGTTATTGAGAGTGTTACCACTGTAGGCTACTGGAATACAGTCCTGCTGGAGACCTTGAGAACAGAGAAAGAACATCTCAGAGTTGTCCCACTCAAGGGACATGAATGAGGGAAAATTATTAACCTACTCTTATCCACTGTCGATCCATTATTGATCTACTGATCAAGACTTGCTCCCAGGGGCATGAACTCCCTGACACTTCTCTCCTGTTCACACTCCTCCAGGCCAAAGCATGCTCCTGAGCCCAGAGAAAGCCATGAAGCAGAGATTTGTGGGTGCTTACAGCAGGCTTTAGTCCATCGGGGAACAGTGGCTGCCACAGAAAATGAGCAGGGTACCTCCTAGAATCCTTCTGTGATTCTAAAGTAGATATGAGAAAATTTGTTTTATCATTCTTTCATGGGCTGCAGAATTGTATTCATTATTCAGCTTTGTCTACTTGAACTACCTCATCCCATCCATATGTCTTTAAACAAGTAATAGTTTGTACTGAAATGTCAAATTACAAATATTTCTCCCTAGAAATGCATCATCCAGGAAATATTTTAAATACAATAATCTAGCATCACAATATTCAGTATTTTTGAAATATTGACAATTTGAAATAGTTAATAGTATAATCTTCTAGAATCTTATCCACATTTTCATCACACAGAAAAGTAAAAAACAAATGCACTCCATTCTGGAAATTTTCATTTAAATTATTGGAGTGTCTCAGGATGATTTGTGATTCTCAACAGGTTCAATATAAAGAAGTTTAAGATTATTTAAATATTATGCAGTACCAAAACCACCAAAATCTAAATGCAATTAGATCTCTAGGTGCATTCACGGAAGAAGCCATTTTACTTTCTTATGATATTTTAGAAACTTTATGAATATGAAGACATTGTAAGGAATATATTCACAGACTAACTTTACTGCACCCCACCCCCATCCACACTCACGTGCAGAGAACAGTATAGAAAGGGACACACGAGTGTTGTTATTTTTCTGTTATCAAAGAAACATCTTTAGGAGCCAGAGAATAAGAGAGACTTTTAGAAATTCAAAGAATTTTAACTCTTGCCCAGTCCAGGGAAGACAAATCTGAAGTATGCGGGCCTCCACTTCCCTCTACCTTAATCACAGTTAAGATTGCTTATTGAATCCACAGATGTGTTTTCAGAACTCTACTGTACGTTATGCAAGGAAATTACTACTGATCAACCCACAGTGTTCCATACAGGTAATCCTTGGACTAGTACCAAACTAGTTGCCATGGAGCCAGTTCTGACTCATGGAGACCCAACTGTGTCAGAATAGCACTGTACTGCACAGGATTTTCAGCAGCTGTGACCATTTTGGAAGTAGATTGCCTGGGCTTCATTTCTCTGGCCTTTCTTCCAGTCCTCTGTGTGGATTAGAACTGCCAATCTTTCAGTTGTTGTTTTTAGGTGCCATCAAGTTGGTACTGACTCCTAGGAACCTTATGCACAGCAGAATGAAACACTGCCCAATCCCGGGCTAACCTCACTACTGTTGTTGCCATGTTTGAGTCCATCGATGCTGCCACTTGGCCAATCCATCTCGTTGAGGGTCTTCCTCTTTTTCTCTGACCCTCCACCTTACCAAACATGATATCCTTCTCCAGTGAGTGTTCTTTCCTGACAGTATGTCCGAAGTATAAGAGATGAAGTTTAGCCATCCTGGACTCCAAGGAACACTCTGGCTGCACTTCTTTCAAAACGGATCTGTTGGTTCTTTTGGCAGTCCATGGCACTTTCAATATTCTCCTCCAACACCATACTCAAAAGCAGCAATTCTTCTATGGTCTTCCTTATTCACTGTCCAGCTTTCGCATGCATATGAGGTTATTGAAAATACCATGACTTGGGTCAGGTGCACCTTAATCCTCAAGCTGACATCTTTCCTCTTCAACACTTTAAAAAGGTCTTGTGCAACAGATTTGCCTAATGCAATATGTCATTTGAACTCTTGACTACTGCTTCCATGAGTGTTGATATTTGTTCCAAGAAGAATGAAGTCCTTGACAACTTCAATATTTTCTCCATTGGTAAGAATGGTGTTTATTGGTCCAGTGGTGAGGATTTTTGTTTTCTTGACATTGAGATGTAATCTATACCGAAGGCTGTGTTCTTTGATCTTCATCAGTAAATATTTAAGTCCTCATCACTTTCAGCAAGGAAGCTTGTATCATCTGCATGTCACAGGTTGTTAATGAGTCTTCCTCCAATCCTGACGCCATGTTTTTCTTCATATAATCCAGCTTCTTGGATTATTTGCTCAGTATACAGGTTGAATAAGTATGGCGAAAGAATACAACCTTGTTGCACACCTTTCTTTCAGTAGGTAGTGGAATACTTAACTGTGTCGTCTAGGACACAGTACAGGCAGGGGCTGCTAAACTTTTCTGTAAAGAAAAATCATTTTTAAACTTTGGATCTTTTATGATCTCTGTTACAACTGCTTAACTTTCTGTTGTAGCATGAAACAGTCATAGATAAATGTATGATTCTGGGTGCTTTGCCACAGTCATTTATCGACACTGAGAGTTGCATTTTTTAAATAATGTCCATGCATCACAGAATATTATTCATCTTTTGATTTTTCCCACCCATTAAAAAGTACAAAATACTAAACTAGCAGGTCCTACAAAGCAGGTTGTTGTGGTGGTTATGTGCCATTAAGTTGATTGCAACTTATATAGGGTTTCTAAGAAGGAGTTGGTGGGTTTGAACCACTAACATGGTGAATAGCAATGCAGTGTCTATCCTAGAGCACCACACCAGGACTCCTACAAAGCAGGTAGTAGGCTAAATTTGCCCCCCAGGCTATAGCTTGCCAACCCCTGCCTTAGCACAGCTCCTTCCTTTGCATGTGAGGAAATATGGCATAAACGGTAAGCAACCTGCTCCAGATGGCACAGATAATTTGCATCAAAAATGTCTGGAAGCTGATCCTTATTGACAGCTGACTATTATTCTATTTCCCTTCATTGACAGGCTCCAAGAAACATCCTTTCTTATACTTTAGTTTATGACTGACTCCCAAGGATTAGCCAAGCGTCAAAATGAACTTCCTCCAGGATCATTTCTTACATTCATAGGAAATACAGGAGCATATAAACTGACTACATACACAAATGTGCATGGACCTCTAAATTAATTACCTAGGAAATAGTGCATAATATTCTAAATAATATATAATAATTGGTGAAATCTCCAGTCTTATATGATAATATTATCATTAATGTGTTAAAAAAAAAATGAACCAACCAGAATTATTTGCAACCAGAATTATTTTAAAAATTTGCAACCAGAATTATTTTAAAACACAAACATAACTCAGAAATGAGCTATTGCTTATTCTGAAATTTGATTTATAAGGAGGAAAATATAGAGGGCCTATTGTAATTATGAGAGGATAATGTTCAAACCTGGAGAGCTAATGAATGAATTTTAACTGCCAATCTTATGGTTCAAACTGATCTTGTGGTCTTGCTCTTATCCTACAGCACTACACCATGACTCCAGATACCCTATAGTAGGTCGCTAAGAGTTGGAACTGGCACGACAGCTCTTAACAACAACACTTTATTTAAATTATGATCGCTTAGGAATATTCCAAAAAGATACAATAACAATTATGAAAATAGTTTCAATTATAGTTAAAACCAAGACAAATTTTGAGACGAATGAGTTTTTTTTTATTTGTTCTTAGAAGTCAAAGGAGCACCCTTGATAGTTGAGGACACCCCAGTGCTTAGGAGTTTAACATTTTCTCGTATAAAATTGCGCCTATGAATTATCCTTTGTTCAAAAGTCTTGTTAGAACTATCGATTTTGGCTGGTACATTTCTTGGTGGCATAGTACGTTGAGGTAATCCATTAACTTCAAACAACCAATACATATTTGCTGTCTGGAAACAAAGAAAGGGAGAAATTTTATATGAAGAATATATAATATTATATAATATATAATAATAATCCAGGGACTAAGAGAAAAGTGGAAAAAATCTACTATAATTGACCTCTCTTCTTCTCCAAGTAGGGTATGGAAAAGGCACAAAACTCAAGCTATCCCTATACTGACATAATCTTAATGTAGAAAATAAATTAAAGAAAGTTACTTGGCTTTATGAATTCATAATCAGTCAATAAAACTTTTGCCACCACTGAAGTGCTAAACATCCCTCTGATGTGAGGAGAAGCAATCTATTTGGTTTGCTTGAAACTGTTGCCCAGTATGAATCATGTTTTTGATGTTGTTAAGTGTCTTCAAGTTGGTTTGGACTCATAGTGATCCTGTGTAGGGTTTCTGAGGTTAGTGGGCTTGACTTTCAGTAGCAGTCCAGTGCTTATCCTACAGTACCACACCAGGACTCCAGTATGAAATATATGAGCTAATGAAAACAATACTTTGCAAGATGAACTTATATGTAAGCATTTAGGTGTTACTATAGAATTGACTGGCACAGCACCTTGGCTTCTGCTTTTTTAGATTAAGAAAGTCAAAAGATTATATGATTACATAAACATTCTAAGAGTGGTGGAAAATCCTTGACAGCATCCTTAATCTAAATCCAAGTCAGTACAATTTTTACAGCAACTAATTTAAAAATCCTTCTTTTTCTTTTCTGTATATATGCACAATAAAGCAACATTGAATTAGGCCATGTAGTGTTTTCTGCATGATTGTGTTCATACTTACATATCATTGTTCTTGCAGAATTTCCTGATCCCAACTACATTGATCTAAACCTTTTTATTAACACTCATGCTTAGAAAACTAATTCAGAATAAACCCAGTCCAAGTGAATAGCGCAGTGTAGTTTGCCATGGAGTGTGTTATCAATGAATGTTGATTATTGTTGTTAAGTACTGTCAAGTCGATTCCGACTCATAGTAACCCTGTATAGGGTTTCCAAGGAGAGACTGGTGAGTTTGAACTGCCGACCTTGAATTCAAACAGACCTTTGCAACCCAGTGTTTTATCCCACAGCATCATACCATATGGTATATTCATTTCTTGTACTTCTGGCCCGGCATTATTTTAATTATGTCTGACCTTTTAATTTGGTGTTTGTAGTTATTCTGAATCCAGATTCAGTGAGTCAAACGAGGACCAAACCAAGAACCATACTGAATGTGGGTTAGATAATATTTTATTTTACACAAGGATATTCATTTTGAAAACCAAAACTACATTTTGATGACTGTTGAGTATATCATTGTAAATTTCTCATTACAAGTGACCCACTTCCTGGGTACAACTAAGTGAGCTACATAAAGAGACCTACACCCATACCTGACCCCTGGTGGTTACACATGAGTAAACTACAAGAAAGGACATTAGCCTAGTCTTGCATTTGGGGTACAACTAAGTGAGCTACAAGAAGGGGCCTGCACTCACACCTGGCATGTAGTGGGTAAGAATAAGGAAACTAAGGAATCTGCACTTAGGCATGGAAAATGTTGAGTACAAACAAGTGGACTAGATGAAGGCACCTGCATCCAGCATATACTTGGTCTAAGTGAGTGAGCTACATTAAGTGACATGCACCCATGCCTGGTTCTACCGGGTACAGATGCGGAACTACATGTAGTGACTTTAACTTTTTTTTTTTTTTTTTTACTTTCTATAAGAAGATTCCTATAAAGAGACTTATTTTTTTTAATTTAATGCAATACATTTTTTATTTTGATTTGTTTTAATGTTTTACTGTGAATTATGTGACAATTTACATGGGAGAACATTAGCTTTACATTCATCCTATAGTATATTGTTTCATTGCCATGGTTACAATCCCCTCCATGTATCATCAACCAACCAAAGGGCATACCCTACAAGCCTGCTCCCCGGTCGTCAGCCACACAGCCCCTCTCCCTCTCTGAGTCTAGAGTCCCCAGCCGCTCCATGTCTCCACGTCATCGTCTCTGCCTCCATCTCTGGTGTCATTGTTTCTATGGGTAGGGTCCCATACTTCACTCTTCTCCCTTGATGGTCCCAGGGACCTCCATTCCTGGACTGCATAGTCAATCACTCCCCTCCTTTTGCTACAAACATCTACCTTTACATTTCCAACCCTCACAGTCAGTCCTGATAACAATTATTCACTATTGTATTACAAGAGACCTATCCGCATCTCCTTTCATCAGTCCCACCCAGACAGATTGGATACTATTCAGTGGAGATTCTACCTTCCTCCACACCCTCTGGATCTAGGTTCCCTCTTGAAAGCTTGTCTTGCCTTTGTAGCCCCCCTTCCGCATTTTGGATAGCCAATGTCCAAGTTGCCCATCCCTATCTACTCTATATAGAGGGGGTGGAAAAGATCATCACTGTAAAGATTTGTTCCCTCTTTTGAGCTACTGCATCCATAGGTGTAGGTGAAGTTCATCAAATTGTATCAAATTTCTCTTTTTTTCCACTTCTTTCTTCTTCTAGTTGAGCTCTAATCATCCAGTCAATGAAGCTAGGTCAACTGGATATTATCTGCAAGTGTGGGTGTTCTTGTGCATATGCCGTCTCTTCTTATCTGCTGAATGCTTCACTCTCCACTCTAGTCCTCTGTGGCTATGTAACTGACTCTGGGCCCAGGAGTCCCCAGGTCTTGCCACAATGCTGGCCAACCAGGTCTCCACCCATGTTCACAGGAGTCTATTGAACCGTGTAGAGCTTAGCTAGCAGCTTCATTGCTGTTTTTCCCTCACTTCTCCTTACTGGTGTAAAGATACTATTTTTAAAGTCTTAATTTTTATTGAATGTATTTCAATGAATTATCAAGCAATTTTGCAATGTGATGCTGATGAATATATATATATATATATATATATATATATATATATATATATATATATATATATATATACATATATATATATATACACACACACACAATATGTATGAATATGCAATAGTTGTATATATGTGTGTATATATATCTCTAGAAAGCTTTTCTGATGGTTTTAGGGAATTAACAAATCCTAGGGACACTTTTCAATCAAGGATTGTAAGAACAGTTGGTGCATAATCATCCCAACTCCCTTTTCCCTTCCATTCAGATGGGATCATTCATTTTGTGTATGTGAATATTATTTTATTATATTTTATGTGAAATTTACAAAGAAAATATAAATTCCATTCAACAATTTATGCACAAATTGTTCTCAGACTTTGTTTACAACCCCCCACAATGTGTCAGCACTCTCATTATTTCTGCCCTTCTTGCTCCTCATCTTTACATTTTTTGCTATTGAGTAACCATTGACCAGCTGATCTCAGACAGTTGACTGTTAATAGTTTATATGGCAATGTATTATATAGATGAAAGGTAACCTCCATAGTAGTTTCAGTTCCAGGTTATAAGTAAATAAAAGAGTATCTTAGGGCAATAATCTCTGGGTTTCCTCTAGTCTGATCAGTCCAGTCAGTCTGGTCTTTTTTTATGAATTTGAGTTTCCAGGACTTTCTATTGTGTCCTTCGTGGTAACATTCAGTAGTGGTAGCTGGGCACTTTTACCATAATTCAAATGTGTCAATATTTTCTAGCCTCCCTTATAACTAACTGTCCAGTAAGGCGATTGGAAATACCATAGCTTGGGTCTGGGTGCACCTTAGTCCTCAAAGTGACACCTATACTCCTTAACAATTTAAAGAGGTTTTCTGCAGTAGACTTCACTAATGTAATACCTTGTATGATTTCTTGACAGCCGCCTTCCATGGCCATTGTTCATAGATTCAAATAAAATGAAATTATTGACAGCTTAAATATGTTTTCCATTTATCATGATGTTGCTTATTGGCCCAGTTGTGAGAATTTTTCTTTTCTTTGTGTTGAAAGTGATAGTCACTATAATCTTTGATCTTCATCAGTAAGGGCTTCAAGTCCTCTTCACTTTCAGGAAGCAAGGTTGTGTCACCTGAATATTGCAGGTTGTTACTGAATCTTCTTTATAGTCTGATGCCACATTTGTCTTCATAGAGTCCAGCTTCTTGTATTATTTTTTCACCATACAGACTGAATAAGTATAGTGAAAGAATACAACCATAACACACTTTTCCTGATTTTAAACCAGGCAGTAAGTAGTCCTTGTTCTGTTTGAAAGACTGCCTCTTGGTCTTTGTACATGTTCCCCATGACTCAATTAAGTGTTCTAGAATTCCTATTCTTTGCAATGGTATCCATAATTTGTTATGACTGATTTAGTTGAATAAATTTGCAGAGTCAATAAAACATAGGTAAACATCTTTCTGGTATTTTCTGCTTTTTGCCAAAATCCATCTGGCATGAGCAATGATACCCTTCATTCCGTGTCCTCTTTGAAAGCAGCTTGAATTTCTGGCAGTTTCTTGTGGGTATACTACTGAAAACATTTTTGAATGATCTTCAGCAAACTAACTTGTGTGTGATATTAATGATATTGTACTATAATTTCTGTATTTTGTTTGATCAATTTTCTTGTATTTCTCACAAGTAGGAGGGGAAATTAACAAGGCCATGGATATTGGACGTGAAAGATAATGGAATTATTCCACAAGTTTTTGAAGTCCCCTTGTACAGACCTCTTCCAGACTGTTGGCTAAGTTGTCTTTCAAATTTCTTGGCATGGATAAGGGAGAACATCCAGCTGCATCTGTTTGTTGAAACATTTCAATCATATTCAATGATATTTTAGGGCCTTGTCTTCCATCAATGTCTTCAGTGTGCTTTGAACTTCTTCCTTCAGTACCACCAGTTATTGATCATATGCTACCTCCTAAAATGGATGAATAGCAACCAATTATTTTTGGTGCAATGACTCTGTATTTCATCCATCTTCTTTGATGCTCCCTACATCATTAGTGAACTCAAATGGACTGGTATTGGCCATTTTGAATCTGACAACCACATGGTTTACTATGCCAGGAATGACAAATTGAAGAGGAATGGTGTGGCATTCATCATCAAAAAGAACATATACAGATCAGTCATGAGGCACAACACTGTCTGTGATAGGATAATATCCATACGCCTAAAGGGAAGTCCAGTTAATACTAC